TTTAGAGTTGTCTTGGGAGGCAGGATTTGAAATGAATAATCATTATACACTAATTTGCTTAGAGAAATGTTCTTATTTTGGTTATTGTCATTATAAAAGTCATATCCTCTGGTTCAGAGAAAGAGATAAGCGATGTCACAATGACAAATTACCTCCCAAGAATTAATGGTATAAAATATCCACAAGTATGGAGAGTGGAGTGTGAATAATCTACTCCTATGGATTGAATAAAGGGTTCTGGTCAACATTCTCAGAAAGTTGCCAACAATGGCAGACAACTGAAAAAAGCCAGAAGGTCCAACAATGATAATGAGTATACCAATCTGTGCAAATCTCTATATAATAAAATCATTTTATACCTCTTTCATATCATTGCACAAATGCATAGATGAACACATAAGAAATTTATAAATTACTGACATATTTACACAGTAAATGTATCCATACAAAAGACACTGGGACATGCTCAAATGTACCAGTGGTTGCATATACATGTTCATACACACTCTGATGTGAGTTGTAGAAGTATTTTAGTTTTCTCAAATGCATACATATACACACATCCTACACATATCTCCTAAATCATGCACATTCATGCATTTACAGATGTATACACAGGAAGGAAGTTATAAGTTCCTGTTTTTTCAAGGGAGAGAATCTTTTCTTGGATAAAACAAATGTTGCAAACAAACAAAATGTTGGTAAAAAAAGAATTTAACTTGACAATTCCAAAGAAAATTTCCCAAACTAGAAAACAATACAAAAAAGGCAACAAAAGAAAGGAAAATAAAAAATGTTGCTAGATTTTACAATGATAAAATTGAAAAAAAAGCAAGAGAGAGAGAGAATAGAAGAAAGAGAATGGAAGAAGAGAGAGAGCATGGAAGAAAGGGAATGGAAGAAGAGAGAGAATGGAAATAGAGAGTGAGAGAACTGAAGGAAAGTGCGAGAGAACTGAAGAAAGAATAGAAGGAAAGAGAGAGAGATTGGAAGAAAGAGAATGTAAAAAGAGAGAGAGAGCAAGAGAATAGAAGAAGAGAGAGAATGGAAGAAAGACAATGCAAGAAGAAGAGAGAAAATGGAAGAAAAGAGAGAGAGAGGATAGAAGAAAGAGAATGGAAGAAGTGAGAGAATGAAAGAAAGAGACAATGGAAGAAAGAGGATAGAATAGAGATCGGAATAAAAAGGAAGCAAGAATGAAATAGTAAGAATGGAAGAAAGAGAAAGTGAGATTGGGAGAAAAAAAGAGAGAAGTATAAATGGAAGAAATTATTAAAATAAATATGATAAAAAAGATGAAACTAACATGGAGTAAAAAGTAAAAAAAAAAAAGAAAAAAAGAAGAAGCCAAGAAAACAAAAGTAAGAAAAGGAAAAGAAAAAGCTGCCAAAGTATACAGAAACTATGTCAAAAGAAGCAAGAATAGATTGCAATGGAAAAAGAGAGATTGGGGAAATAGATACAAAAAACAACTGATTTTAAAAAAGAAGTTTGGGAAAATGTAGACAAGAATCTCAAGAAAAAGCACCTGAGGATGCTGTTCTTGTCTTCTGATAAGAAGAGTTCTAATAACACACAACCTTCAAAGAAATAGCAGAGCAAATCTCTGACTTGCTGTTAATCTCATTGCTACTTGACACAGACTTGAGCACTTCACACTGTAGCCATACATTGTTGCTGTTTTCTTTTATTACTTCTTATATGTTAGGAGTTATGCCCCTTGCTGGTATTTGAGTATTGTTTTCTCTTCAAGTTCATAACAGGGTAGTGAAGCTCATTTGTAGACCTTCTCTTTGAAGAAAGAAAGTGATTTTGTATTAAATATTTGTTGTACTATTGGTTGGTGTAGTACTTAGAAAAGTCTCTGTATTAATGTTCTATTTGTAATGTTATATTTTTTGGACATGGCTTAGTGATAGGAGGGAAGTAACATTAATTTCAAGGATTTTTATTATCCAATAAATATTATGCTATTGGTAATGGAGAACTGAGTACTTGGATTGTGGTGAATAGGATTGGGCAAAATCTTTGAGACTGAATTAATTCGAGACATTGGCAGAAGCTAATATAACTTTAGATTGTTGAAAATGTCTTGTTGCAATAAGAAGAAAGCTGACAAAAAGGAAAAGGATTCCTATTCAAGCTTTTTTGCAATCATGTATGTACAAATGCCAACAAAGAGATTATCTTCTGAATAAAACAGGATCTATATTTACCTCCCAATAAAAAAAGTTAACTATATTAATATGGTGTTGCACAAGCTATAGCTGATTGTTGCTGGCCTTGTTTTGATGGTCAAATAAAGGTATTTACAGCTAATTCCCTTTAGAGGAAATGGAAAGTGATGTTTCAGCTGGCAGCAAGCAAGAGAAAGAAAGAGCAAATGACCTTTCACATTCTCCAAACAATGAATAAAGCAACATCATTGAGCAAATTTGAATATAATTTAATAACAATAATGTTAAAGAGAAAAGGTGTTCTTAGAGGGATTACAGAGAGTTTCTAAAAGCTCTAGAATAATAAAGTTCAGGAAAACAATTGTGATTTTATATATGGATTTGAGAGTGTGTGCATAATACATGTAAGTGATATATATATATATATATATATATATATATATATTTATTTATTTATTTATTTTTATCAATTAAGTGTTATTTTTAGTGGATACCCATATTTGAGTAGATGCTCTATTTTTATATCTAAACAGTATATTATTGTCTAAAAACCTGAATAATTGCATAATTATACACCCTCCAACAGTATTTGGACCTGCATCTCCACTTAGCAACAGAAACCATTGTTAGATCTGACATGCTTATACTGACTCAGCCACAAAGGACATTGTCGATCAAACAAGGCTGATTAGTACTTTTATGCAAAATCCTTCTCATCATAGATTCTTGAAATTCATATCTGGTCAGTTTCATATCTAAAGTAATGGATTTTTCTCTTCCTTAATTTGACAGATTTTTATCACTTCACCATTATTTTTAGGGGATAACCATATTTGAGTGGATGCTACATTTTTATTTTTAAAAAGTATATTTATTATCATCTACTGGCCTGAATAGTTGAAAAATCTTATTAAAATATGCACCCTCTGGTAGGCTGTATGTGCTTGCATATATATTTATGGATAAAAGTAACTCAGGAAGTTCCATTTAGGTATTCAGGCAAATATTTTATATCACTAAAGTAAGTCTCTTTGTATAGCATGAGTGGCCAATGCTTTCTTCAGCATGGTGTGAGTTAGTAAATGTGCAATGTGTTCTTCTGTGTGTACTTGCTGTGGGTAATATCTATTTTGCTTTTGGTGTGTTCTTATATAGTCCAGAGATAGGCTCCAAATCAAAGCCAAAATTAACTTTAGGGTCATATGGTGTACTTACTGTTATGTCTGCATGAGACGACACCAAGTTTGCTTCTATGTGTCTATTTTTAAACTTGATGAAATTGTAGTTGTAAAGGGAATTTGAAAATGTATTTTTATTTATTTGCTTTTGTCTATTTTCAATTTCCCAACAATTGTAATGCTTGGAGTTAACTCTTAAACCGTGGGAAAATGTGTATTCTAAACAGGAAAAAAATCAGTTGCTTATTGCTGAGAAGAAATTGAAGTTAATACTCGGGCATCCATGTTGAAACTGAAGTGAATATAGGTGTCAGTGTAGTTTCATGAATCCGACAGTTGCCAATTAATCATTTAGATTTAAATCATGAATGAATGATTCCTATATCACTGGAAAAAGTTTAAATCATAAATTGATGATATCCACTGATCAGCAATGAAACATCTGTTGATTGTGTCTACTGTTTAAGAATTAAAGGACTCTGGTATAATAAGTTTCAGATTTCATAAACTCTATCTCAGGGTTGAGATTAAGTTATGCTGCATTCAGAAGAAATATCCAAGCTTGGTCTAAGTTCTGACATTTTCTTTGACAGAAAAAGCCTGGTTAAACCCTGCTTAATTACAACTAGTTATAAACATGTTGGTGTAGTCTTGATAAAATAATTATCTAAGTTTTTATATAAAACAGAAGTTTGTCATATTTGGAAAGGATATTAGAATAAACCAGATCTTATACTAGCAGCAAACCACCTGCATGCAGATAGAAAAAGAATTCAATAAATACACAAAAATAGAAAAGAGTGTAAAACAAGAATGTGTCTTCTTACTGGACTTATTCAACCTATATAGTGAGGTGATACTGAGAGAATTAGAAGTCCTACCAGGATACACTATTGGTGATGACATTAATAGCATAAAATATGCAGATGACATAGTGTTGATAGCAGATGCAGAAAGGAAACCATAAGAACTCATACAAAAATTAGTGAAGAAAAGCAAAAAGAAAGAACTAAAACACAATTGCAAAAAGATAGAATGCATGATTGTCAGCGTCATGCACATTACAAATTGGAAATAACATACAAGTACACCAATTTAAATATCTGGGAAGTGTTTTAACAGAGGACAGAAAGTGTAACTCTGAAACCTGAAGGCACGTTGGGATAACAAAATATGCCTTCCAAAAGCTAAGCAAAGTATTAAGAAAAAGAAAAAACTGTTAGAAATAATGATGAGTTTTGAGCTGTTACATAATATCAGTCCTCCTATATGGCAGTGAAGGCTAGACAATCACCTTAGAGATAAAGAGACTTGAAGCAACAGAAATGTGGTTCTACAGAAGGATGTTGAGAATACCTTGGATAGAACATGTGAGCAATGACAATTTTTTAGAGAAAATGATAACAAAAAGGAAACTTCTACTTAACATCAGGAAGATATAGTTGAAATTTCTAGGGTACGTCATGATTAATTGATTGATTCATTCATTTTCTACAATGTATCAATCTTTTGCAGATTATTTAAAGCCAGAAAAATTTTTTAGATTGGAGGTATATATATGCATAAGTGAATATAATGAACCCAGCTGGAATTGGAACTTGGTTTTCCAAATTAACAATTCCGTCACACCACCTGCACATCCAAGCATACATCACCTGGCATTTCCAAGTGGTCACCCATCTAACTACTGACCAGGCTTGACTTTGCTTAACCAGTATTCATATGAGAACCAGTGTTTCAATATGATATGGCTGTAAGCCAGCGCATATTGAGGAAGGAGGTCTTGGAAAATTTGATACTCACAGGATAGACTGAAAACAAGCGAAATAAAGAAAAACAATGCATAAGCTACCTAGTGAGCTTGATTAAATGGATGGCAGAATAAGTTTGAGTAGAGATAGCAAAAAGACAAAATTTATTAAGTGCTACAAAGGAAAGGTAATTGTTGAGAGCCATGAAGTGATACAGCACCTAGAATAAGAAAATGTAATATTCTGAGCAGTTTGATAATATTATATTGTACAGGGTTGTATATTATGATTTGTTTTGCATAAAAGAATGGCCTCCTAAATTGCATTAAGAATTAACAGACACTTATTTATTAGTTTATTCCTTTATTAAATTGAAGGTTCATTGTAGGTTTTAAAAACAAGAATTCATGTCAGTATATGATGAATATATATTATTATGGGTTCTCTTTTAATCTTGGCCTAGTTTTTATTTTGCAGTTGTCTGTATAAATCTTTGATTTGATTTTTCTCTTCTTGAACGGCTGCCATGTGAACAAAGAATTTTTCTTGGGATCCAATCAGTTTTTATAACCTTCTCTTGTTGAATAAAAAGAAGATCATTATTATGAGTGATTCCTAAAGAGATCTAGCACTTGATTTGAATTGTCCACGACTTACTGTGTGATTCTAAATACTTTCCTTTTGGTTAAATCCAAATAGATGAACTAGAGCAAAAAGTATTTTTGTGAATAGATTTTTCATGCGCAAAATCTACAGTTGCTTTATAAGAAGCTTCTAGTCTTCATGTACAAAGGGAAGTGTGAGTAGTGTAGCAGCTCGGAATGAGAACTCCTTACTTCCTGTAAGGTTCGTAACATTCACTTAAGCAAAAATACTCTTGGAAAGGTATGAATCTATCTCTTCTCCCCAAGCTGTGGATTAAATAGTAGAACTTGAATCTTGAAAAATTATCAATATCTCAAAAACATTGTTAATGCAATATTCACTTTCAAAAAAAATATTACAATCTAAAATATTTTTCGGCTTTAAAAATAACCCTCAAAGTGTTGATAAACTTTAAAAAAACAAACAAACCCATCAGCCAATTATGTGCAACGTTCCATATCTACTTACTCTATTATTATTATTATTATTATTTTTTGAGTCTTCTTGTTTGTCTTATGATCTGCCTCCAATTTTCAACCAGAAGTTTTCAGTAGATCATGAATTTTGGTAGAATTTTGGTAGAATTGGTCATATACGAAGCTGACATTCTCAGCATCATTTTTCTTAATTATATCATTGTTGTATGATTATGTATATCATTTTAAACTTTCATAAAAATGTGTTTGGGAAGGAGAATTGTTTCCCCTGCATGGATGGTCTCTCTGCTTCTGGCTCAAAATAATGAACTCAACACTCATCCTGGGTCAGGAAGTGTTCAAGGAAACCAGCTTGATCTGCTTCAAACAATATCAGATTTTCCTGTGATGTTATCAACTTGGTGTCTTTTTGATCAGATATCAAAAGACATGTCACCTAATAAACAGAAACCTTCATCATGCCAAGTTCTTTGTGCTAAATATTCTCAACTCTCTCACGAGATATGCTAATAGCATTGGCTATTTGATTTATAGTCTGTCATCCATCACCATGTGACAAACATAATGTTTTCCTCAGTGGTGACAGTTACAGGACATCAGACCTTGGGTCATCTTCAAGATGTTCTCTTCTCCCTCCTCCATTCAGCTGCCCACTTTTGTGCTGTTGATAAAGCTAGAATGTCACCCCTAATATAGCAAACACATCAACATGTATATCCTTGGGGATAAACTTTTTCTGCAGGTATTTGATCACACCACAATGCCAAATTTTGTCTATTTTCAAGAGAAGTCACTATTAGTTACTTTTGAAGTCTTCTTTGAAGTGCCAAATATAAGTTTAACTGGAAATAAACAATGCAGTTATTAATAAGAAGATTTGAAATTAATTTGTAGAGGACCGTGTGGGTTTGTGGTAGAATATTAAAAAGTTCAACAAGAAAATGACCGGACTTGAATTAAGTCCAACTGAAGATAAAGAAGACAAACAAACAAGACCATATATATATATATATATATATATATATATATATATATATATATATAAATAAACAAACAAATATATGTATTAAACAATACAATTTTATAATGGGCATAAACAATAATATTTGTTTGTGTCTGAACATTTGTGTCTGTTCTTTGGTGAATGTTCGTATGTATATATATATATGTGTGTATAATGTTCATGGCATCTCCTACAAATGGGAAGACGCGGATCTTCTAAGAGAGTTTACATTGTAGTCACTGAAATGAAAAAGAGAATGAGGTGAGAAGTTGCTCTGTATTTATAGTATAGGGAGAATGACCCCTAGCGATTAATTTGGGAATTAAAGAGTAACTAACTCTGATAAATTCATGCAAGATTTCACAGCTCTATTGTCACTCCTTCATGGTCAGCCTATGAAGTTTTCAGCCTACCTTCATTTATTAGTTTAAACTATCAAAAAAAATGTATATGTACAGATAAAATGTATGTACTGTTAAAATATGTAAATAGATTAAATAGAGAGTTTGGAAAACTAAGATTATGTCACATGTGTAAAATTCAATTAAATCCCAGAAGAATTTTCAAAATATGAAGAACAAACCATTGCAAATTTTTTTTGTTTCTACAAATATCTAAGAATGTCCATGCAAATTCCACAAGTATATGTCCGTGACCTAACATATTGGTAAAACTTTGTTGAGGATATGAGAAGTAGTCATGAGTACAATCTTCTGCATTCCAACCAAACTGAGTATACCAGGTCTTTGAGTAACTACCTCTGGCTCAGCTTAGTCTATGTTCAATTTCCTTCCCCCCTATACTAAATTTGTTATAACTGATCAATGCACTGATGTATTTGAATTGTTAAATATATAATAAATCCACTTCCTTGACGATAATGTGGTCTGGAAACAAATCCATATCTCTCAGATATTCTGTATTTTGAAAACCTTAAAATTATATTTAATTTGATTTTATGGGTTTGAGTAATGATTGTATATATTTTCTGTCTCAATTCCTGACATGAGGTGTTTCTTCTTCTATGTGTTGTGCCCCTTAAGGATATGGATAATCATAGCTCTCCACAACCTCCTATCTTTCATAGTACATAGTAGTGTTTTTTTCTCTTGCCTTTTCTGTCATCCACTTATATTAGTGAGGTTACTCACTGCTTTCTTCTGTCCTGTAAATGTCAAATTCTCTAGACCTTCTTTTCTCTTAATCTGTCCCCAAAATTTCAATTCTCTCTTCCTGATTTTATAATTGTTCTTTTAGTTTCCATTTTTCTTAAAACCTACTTGTTGCTTACATGTTTTGTCTACAGTAGTCTCAGCATCCTTCTATGGAACCATATCTATGTTGCTTCAAGTCTCTTCTTCATCCATAAGGAGATTGTCTATATATGATGACTAATATTACATTACAATTTAGCACTTTTCTTTGTTTCTAATGAAATTTTCCTGTTTCTTAATAATTTTATTAGGTTTTGGAAGGTGTCTTTTGTAATTCCAATGTGCCTTTGAACTTTAGCGTCACATCTTATATCATATGAGAGTTGGCTGAAAAGTTCATAGGCTGGAAAAGTTCATATAAATGGAAGCCAACACCCCAGTTGGAAACTAAATGACAGGTAAGTCTACAAGAATCACAACAGCTGATGTCTACTTACATTAATATCTTGGTTAGCCTATGAACTTTCCAGCTGACCTTCATATGTTAAAACACTAACCAGTTATTCAAACACTCAAGGGGACAGAGATGTGGTTCTACAGAAGGATGCTAAGTATATCATAGACCAAGAGTGAGAGCAACAATGAGGTCTTGGAGAGAATGCAAACAAAGAGGAGGTTTATACTTAATATCAGGAAGATGCAGCTGAAATTTCTGGGACACATAATGAGAAAGGATTGCCTGGAGAATTTGATACTCACAGGTCGAACAGAGGGAAAAAGAGACAAGGGAAAGCAACATGTGATATACCTGGTGGGCTTAAGCAAGTCGATGACAGAACATGGTTTGGGGGAGGAAGCAGAAGGAAGGAACTTGTTGAGAGCTGCAAGTGTTAGAGGAAGGTGGAGAGCCATGATCGCGCTTACATTCTGAAAGGACTTGGCACATAAAAAGAAAAAGACTTGTCTGATTTTGATGTCTCTAATTTGTAGCTTACAGGATTCATGCCTCCATCTTTGATGTTAATGTTGTCATAACAACTACAAACATTATTCTGAATGTAAAAATGTAAATGACACTAAATATGACAACATTTTTATAATTGATTTTCAAGCTTCACCTTTTGAATTTTAAGTTTAATGTAGATTTAGGCATGAACATATGTGAGATCGCAGAAAACAGGTCAATATTCAGAATATTGGACAGAAAAAGCAAAACAAGAAATCTAAGGAATTATATCATGTTTTGATTTAGTAACATCTCAATGTCTGTGGATAGTGTTATTGTTGTATCATACCTAGGGACGATAATGGGTTGTGTCCCTATTCACATAAATACAGTAGTAAAAACTGTATGTTGGTCCGCAGTTGGAGATTTGTCTCCAGCTTCAGCCTCAGGCAGAGAGGATCCCCAGACGAGGCTCTGCTGAAGGGCAGAGTCTCATCTCGAAAAACAGCTACCTGATACTGTTTTATACTGTGTCTACAGGGAATTTTTAGCGAAGCCTACAAGCTCGGATGCCCCACATTAAATTCGGCCTTGTGCCACATCTGACCACGTAGGGTGGTTGGTAGATATCCTGTAGCTGGAGATTTATTATGGAATTCACTTCTAGAAGTTGACTTCTATGCACTGCTGGCAAATCTTATATGTGTTGTTCTTGTCCTAAGTATTATCATTCTTTTCCAACCTTCATGTGATTATTCTATTCAGTAACCTCTCCCTAGGTTACAACAGTTATTATTATTGAGATTCTTGTGAAATTCTTA